AAATCAAACATAGACTAAACTAAATATTAAATATCATCCATTTCTATTAAGCATTTTTTCAGTGTATTCACTTTCCTTTTTTTAGTTTCCGAACTCTCTCTTGATAATCTTCTCTCTACTTCATATCTGTGACATTCTAACATGTTCTATGATTTCATCCTTCTTACAGAATATTATGCCTTTGTATAATAAAGGTTTTTATATCAGAATCCTTATCTGCAGCCTCAGATTCTCAGTTGTTATTTGTAAATTAGCGACGTTCTCTGACCTGCTGTTGAAACATTTCCACTTCTTGTTTCATTCTGGAAACATCTTTTTCATATTTGCACTGGAGTTCTTCTATGAAACTTTGACGTGGTCCAATTCTTCCTGCAAACGTCTCTCACTGTCTGGCAGAAATATGATCTGCTGTGATATTTTATGAAACATATCAAGGAGCTGCTGTTCCTCATTAACCCTTGCATCACTAAACTGCGTCTTCAGACTTTGAGCATAGGAAGCCTGGAGTTTGTCCAGTTCTTCTAGGGCATTTCTTTCCTCATTTTCCACCAGGATTTGTGCTGCAAATGTTTCCTTCTTGTTGCAAATCCACCTTCTTCTTGTATCTCACATCCTCGTGAATCTCCATTTTTAAGATGGACCAAATAATCCAGATTATTGTTGCTAATTTTTAACTGTCTAACTTTACAAATCACATTCCATATGGTATTGTTGAACAATACGCAAATAACGCAAATAAAGATGCATTTATACATTCCTAAGGAGATTGCAACCAATTTTATTTGAAGGTTGCGCCATCTACTGGAAAAGGAAAGCAATTGCAACACAGACTGGAAAATGTAGAAAGATTAAAGAAAGGTTCCCAATGATTATTTACTGGTTTTCACTGTCCCAGTTCAGTCTGTTTGTCTTGAATATCAGGATATGCAGTGATGATATGAGAATAAAAAGAAGGAGAAGAAGAGCGCATGGTGAGAAGGTGGAAATGCAGCGGAACCAGAGACAGAAGATCAAGGGTCCGGGACGGTCGGTGGGCAGAAGCAGTTTTTCGTTTCTGGGTAAAACTCTGTTACGGTTGTTGTCAGAGGACATTCTGATCCAGGGAATATTACAAACTCAGAGTTGGACCTGTGCAGCCGGTGTTGGAGGTCTTCCAGAGTCTCCGTCTTCAGATACTTGTGTTTGGACTCGTCCTGAACGTTGTGGCCCCAGTGCCGCTCGCTATCCACGCCTCGGCCACGGCGCTGTAGCAGCAGAACGCCGACCAGAGCGCAGCGGGAACGTTGACCCTGTTGTTGAGGGTGCTGTTGGAGCTGGGCAGGGCCCCGGTCACCACAAAGCCCCCGGTACCGCCGCCGCTGCTGACGCAGTACTTCTCCATGATGCATTTGTGCACCTGGAACAGGGTTTCATTAGGGTTAACTTTAGCTAAATTTTGACTTTGATTCATTGGTATAAGTCATGTGGCTCTTGACAGTTGGTGGTAACTATAGCAGTCAGTTACGGGCAGCTCCTCCCCTTTTTCTGTTTCAGTCTAACTGTATTGGGATCAGTTCTGTGTTATGTTGCATTTTAGCATATATTTTAAATTAATTTAATAATATTCATGGGTTTTGTACTTGATTTTCTCTTGTTAGAGATGTTCCGTTATCCACTGTTTAATAGTCTCTGAATGTTGTACACGTAAAAGGGTTTTATTTGATGTGAAGTTTATCAAAATGTATTTATTGTTATGGGCTTGCTGTGGTGGCGCATCTGTAGTTTGCTTCAAGTTATTTATTGTACTTTATTTTACTGTATTCAGTGAACCTGAGTGAGTTTGTTGTGAAGTCGGCCATGTTGGATCTGAGACAAACAACGATGTTTACACACCTCTCCATTTTGTTCCAGCTGCCCTTGTTGAAGGACTCCGCTTGGGGAACAACGTTGGTCAGGGTGAAAGTCGACCGTTTGTCCGCTTTGGTTGAGGCGTAGGAGCTAGGAAATATGTGACCCCGGTCAAATGTTCTGTTGGATCTGTAATCCACAGTGCCGGCCTGGTGGTTGTAGGTTCTGTTCGTATCTCCGGGGATCATCCTCTTCTCTCCATTTGGATTCTCCAGCTGCGAAAAGAGTAGTTGAGACGAGAAGGCAAGGGTGCTCAAGTCCAGTCCTCCAGAGCTTCCGTCATGCAACCTTTAGATGCGTCTTTATCCAACAGACCAGGATCGACTCTGAACCTACCTGCTGACGATTCATTTGATTCAGGTGTGTTGGAGCAGGGAAGCATCTGAAAGTTGCAGGATGGAAGCTCTAAAGGACTGGACTTGAGCTGCCCCGGTCTAGAGAGTCTGATTTGTCTGGGGTTGTGTGAATGTTTGACCAAAAAAGCAAACTCTGGTGCGGTTTGCATATGTGAGTGCTAAGTGGACCGGAGACCACTCCAGAAGCAGGAAGTGGACTTTAGCGCTGCACATTCGGGATAAATGCAACCAAAACAAACACGCTAGTCTAGTGTAAGAAATGGATTGTGGTCTTTTGCCAATGACAAAAGTGAAAAACTACAACTGCTAAAATTTGACACCACTCCATTTTTGTTTCCATTTTTTGCTCAGTGTCTTCTTTAGAGGTTTTTGTGTTGTTATATTTTTGTGTTTGGTATTTTGCCCCCACAGGTGGGGAAGGGAACAGGTTTTTCAAAGGGTTTGGTTGGTTTGACTCAGTGCATTGTGAAAGCTAACCACACCAACTGAAAATATAACAAATGTAATTTGGTCCCAAATTCAGTCGAGTCTACAGGACTCTCAGGTGTGAAAACAAGCCTACCTGCGGTTCTATCTTCCAATCGGTTTTGGGTCTCTTTCTGGAAACTTCTCCAGTGAACTTGAAAGCAGAAAACACCGGAATCCGGTTGCGCACATCGTAAAGCGTCAAGAATTTTCTTTGATTCCCGTAGGTCTGGCAAATGACCTTGTACCGGTTCTGATCGAGGATCATCCCGCCCTCCAGGATGCCTGGAATGTGCGGTGGTGTTTGGCCAAGGAGGAAGAGGTCACAGTCTGATACTGACTTCATCACTTCAGCAAACGCTTGTACAGACAGGAGGAAGAGAAGAGCTGTGGTTGGCAGGAAACACCAAACCTGCTGAGTCGTCATGTCCTTCGATCAGAGGAGACAAAAGTGGGTTGATCTAGATCTGTTCTGAACAGTTGAACATCAAAACTGCTAACATTGTTGGTTAGTTGCATTAGAGTTGCATAAGACCAGTTAGCAATGCTGATAATTTTTTCTGACGATTTACAATCTGCTGGGTTTTAGTAGAGAAAAGTTTTTAAAATAATTTGAATAATAAATTGAGCTCAATTCACTGTTGATAACCAGGATGAACTGGAATGAATTGGCTCGTTGCTGAAATGTGTGACACAGACAAACCTGCCGTCCTGACTGTTGCATCCTAACCCTACATCACAAAACTTGAACTGAAGAACGGAGGCAGTTCAAGAGTCAACCCCGAATACACCGACCAAACAAAACTTACCAAGTATTTTGGTCTAGTTTCTGGTGATAATATCTCAGTTTTGTCTTATTTCAAAATGAATTATCTTACAAGTAACTTTGCAGCAGAGAGATTATCAGTTACTTGCAAGTTACATTTCAAATAACTATGATATTACACAATCGACTAGACAAACATACTGAATTTTATGTTTTTGCAGTATACTTTATCCTCAAAGAACATAGAAATCACAAACGAAACTGGACTATTTAGCTTAGTTTCCTAAAGTATGTTGGAATGATAAATTAATTAAAACTACAAACTGAAACTCTGGAAATGAAATATTGAACTTGACCCATATAAAAAGTTTTAAATACTTAGTAACTATGTTAATAAGTAAATCCGTATTATCTGATCAAATTCACCATGTTTAGCATTTAGTTGATAAAACAGAGCTCACCGTTTCCAATGAGAAAGTGTCCCGACGTGTTTGTTTCCTCTAATGAAGAGATCAATATGACTTCCTCAAACTTGACAGGAACTTGTGGCTCTCTCTCATGACAGAATGTGCGGTCGGATGTTTGAGAAAACTGCTGCCAGGAAACTAACTTTAGCTAGTTTTCTCTGAAAGCTGCTGCATGTCTCGTGTTTAATTCCCTCCGACCGTCTGGCGAAACGATGCTGGTTCAAATGTCAAAGAAATGTCACAAATGAGTCTGCAGAGGAGAAAATATGAAGTTTGCATTCATAAGCAGTTTCTGGGGACTGACGTGTTCATCGGTCTGTGGATTTAACCCATGTCTGAGGTCGACCTGGCGCTGTTACACAAACCCACTGAAAAGCTTTGGGAGTCTGTTAATTATTTATTTATTTCAGTTAAGTACATTCATAAAGTTGAAACTTGTAGCATAATATATATATATAAACCATTATTGTACATTCAGTGTAAGTAGACCAGTAACTGTACTGGTTTGGGCTGTTTTACATGAACAGCTGATGACATGGAGACCCAAAGCGTCACAGACTGTGGAATCGGCTCTTTATAACAACGTTACGTTGCTTTGTAACTACATATTGTTGACAACAATAACGTGTAATCAGCAACATATTTGCTTTATATCAAGTTGTTGTTATACAGTTATAACCATGTTATAAACAATATGTTGAAACAACTTCTGATTAGCAACATGTCACTTTAACAAAAGTCGAAAAACTTTGCTTTTTTACATATCATTTTTTTAATATTCTGCTGTATAGCAACAATCTATTGTTATAAACAGTATGTTGTTACAAAGCATTGTTATAAACAATGTGGCTTCATAACAATGTTATAAACAATATATTACAAAACAACATTGTAACACAGCAACATACAGTTATTATAAAACAATGTTAACAGCAATATTGTTGCAGTATAATCTGTTATAAAGAATGTTGTAACCATGTTAAAAATATGTTACAAAGCAGCAATATGTTGCTTTACAGAGTAAGCAACATATTGCTGCTTTGTAACTATATAATATATTGTTTATAACACTGTTGTGAAAAGTGTTATAAACATGTTACAAACCACAATATGTTGAAACAATGTGTGATTAGCAACAATGTTGCTTTTAAAAAAGTTTAAAAGGTTTAACCAAAAAACTGTCAAAAACTGGAGAGTTTAAACTGCTGGCAGGCCACAAAATTTATTTAGTTAAGAATATAAAAATGAGTTTCTGATTTTTGTGTTAGGTTTCACTCAAGGGCTGGTATTAAATAAAAATCAGTCTGTGCTGCGGTTAAACCTCGACTTGTGAGTTTCTTTACTTGCAGTAAGAACTCCAACAAGCAGAAGAAAGGAAGCCATTTATTTCCACCCAACATGTTGAAACACCTGGCTAAGCCTCTGCAGTCAGTGAGCGTCACTCAGGTCCAGTTCGCCGACCTGAATCGGGTTCAGCAGAGACGCAGCAGCTGATGAGCAGATGTGGTCGGTTCCTCTGCGCGCCTCGACGTTTCATCGCGTTAAGCAGCATTAATGTGCAGGTTGCTATCCTTCCGTTTGTGGTTTTAAAATATAAACACCACAAAGCCTTTGGAAAGGTTGGGACAGCAGGTGCGTCTTCAGCCAGGATCCTGAGCATCATCCTGGATGCTCAGGGTGAAAAAGTACCGTCGTCCTCCAAAACGTCTGAGAGCATCAGGCAAAGCTGAGAGAAAGACGGACGCTCATCCGGCCTCTGCAGAGAGAAAAGTAAAACTTCAGAAACGTCCTCTAGAAAAACAGAGCAGAATCTGGAACTCTTAAAGGGCCGGTATGCATTTTCCAACCTCAGAGCCATTTTATACAACAATAAAGTAACTGTGTTGCTCTGTGGAACAAACGCCAAATGGAGCAAAGCCCAAAACTTTCCCAAGTGTTTTTTATCTAGATTATAGTGCAAATATCTCAGTACACTTGAAATTAAAGTTACCTGTTAACTTACAGGTAACTTTTCATGCAGGAGATTATTTTAGTATGAAATATTTACAGTCCAGTTAACATTGATGGAAGTTTGAACAATAATTTCTTACATCGCCAGTTTTACAAAACAGAAAACAGGAATGTTTTAAAGGAAATAAACACATTTCTGTTCAGGCTAAAAAAAAAAAATCCTTTTATCTACAAACATAAAATGAATCTCTAGTTTCCTTTTGAATTCAAAGTTAAGAATTGAAATAACAGAACAGTCCAACAGATGGCGCTACACATTCAATAATGAATAACCAGCTCTGTAAATAAAGCCTTTTATTATTAAACACACAAAAATATTAGAGATAATTTTCATCTGTCGTCCATTAAAAACATAAAAATTATGCAATTAATATCATTTACAGACAGCAATGTCAGACACATTGTGAAAAGCATATTCAATAAAAAAGCAGATAAAACATAAAAAACTCATTCAACTTCTGTCAACAGTCAGAATTTCTTTTTAGATTATTTTTTTAAACTAAAAATATATCTGATTATTTACTTGAATACGTTTGTTTTTGTCAACTCCGTGTTAAAACAGCATCTAATCTGAGCTGTTTGCTCTGTGAGTCAGTGAAGCAGAAAAAGGCTGAGGGAGCAGACAGACGTTTTCTCTTTTCCTTCCACTTACGTTGTTCCAACAGAGCTGCATGATGTCGTACAGGGCGGGCGGCGCCATCTTGGGCCGGAACAGCCGATGCCCGTTGGTGACCATGGCAACCACTTCGTGATTGAGTCTTTGGTCGAACGGCATCTGGCCCTCTGTGAAGACCTCCCACATCAGCACACCTGGACACAGACACAAGCATGTCAACGTCGTCAAAGAGATGTTGATTTTAACTCAAAGACGTTTAGACATCAGAAAACGAAGAGACAAAAGAAACAGCATCGCTTTTCAAATAACGATCAGAACCGATCAAACCCAAGACTCTCGTTGTGTTTTTCCAGGTTTTGTTTGTCTGATGATAAAATAATCTGATAAGATTATTTTATCTTAACACCATTGCTAATATGCTAACAGCAGAGCTAAATTTTCATTTAGCACTTTTGCTACCTTTGAAAACAATTAACGCATTATAATTTCTTTAAAATGCGTAATTATTTAGTAAACTTTCAGATGGATGAAGTTCAACATCTGTGTTGACATTTTTGTTATCAACTGTTGAAAATCCTTCATGCTCTTATTTTGAAATATGGGATGCTTCTCTTTTTCCCCCTATTTAAAACTACAAACATACAAGAACAAAATAAAACAGACAGCAGAGAAAAAGATATAAATACAAACAAAATATCTCCGGGTAAAATAGAAAATGTAAATTATAATTTCAAATTTAAACTGGGCATAGACGGTGCATATATAATTTAAACTTAAGTTAGCACTTTAGTCTCTGCTAGCCTAAGCGTTAGTTTCTGCTAGCTTTAGCATTAGCTTCCTCTAATGTTTATTTGTTGTTTTATCACAATTAACGCTGACTTACTTAAGAGTGAGATTCTCAGCTCTGTTCTGGTGTTGATGTGTAAATGTGTTGCTCTGTGGTTTTAGCGTTCTCACCGTACGACCAGACGTCCGACTTGCTGCTGAACTTGCAGTAGTTAAAGACCTCAGGCGGAGACCACTTCACAGGAAACTTGGCACCTTTGGTGCTGGTGTACTGGTTGTCCAAGACGTACCTGCAAGAGGAGCGTTTAATGGCCGCAGATTTGTGTGAGTGATATGAAAATAATCAGAGTCTTACCTGGCCATGCCGAAGTCAGAAACCTTCACCACCATAGCGTCGTTCATCAGGCAGTTCCTGGCCGCCTTCACAAGACAAGCAGCTCATAAATGACAGCAGCAGAGGTTGCAAAGCCCCAGTCAGAAGCAGAAGAGACGTACCAGGTCTCTGTGGATGAAGCTGTTTTCCTCCAGGTACTCCATGCCCTCGCAGACGTCCAGGCACATGTCGAGCAGCGACCCGGGGCTGAAGCTGCCGCGCCGCTGCCTCAGGTAGTTCACCAGGCAGCCCTGCTGCATGAACTCTGTGACGATGTAGATGGGCCTCTGCTGGCTGCAGACGCCGTACAGCTGCACCAGCTTGGGATGGGACAACTTCCTGGAGAGACGGCAAGAGAATGAGCCGCCCATCATGAGGAAATCCAGGCTTTTGGGTTCATTCACATTAACCCTCTGTATTCTGCTCTGTTTGTTTGCCAAGTAAACCACTCTAGTAATTCTCGTTTTGGTTGTTTTCTGGTCCTTACATCATGAGTTTGGCCTCTTCGATGAAGTCCTCCTCGTACATGGCGCCCTCCTTGATGGCCTTAATGGCCACCTTGTGCTGAGACCTCCACATGCCGAGCCTCACCTGGCCGTACTGACCGCAGCCCAGCTCCTTCATGAAGGTCAACTCGCTCGGGTTGATCTCCCACATCTCTGCAGATACAACACATGCAGGGTTAAACCAAGAGCAGGTGAAGGTAAAAATACTGTAAACTAAAGTCTGAAATAAAGATTGAAGATAATCTGGCTGTGCCACTCACCGTAGCTGAAGCCTGCCGTCGATGGACCTGACTTGTCCTGCTTTCCTACAGGATATCTGAGCCTGGCTGCAAGACCTGAAGAAGAACAAATTCACACATAAATGATCTGCTATTCAAATATTTAAAGAGGCAATAATGAATATTTTATAGTTCACTCTACTATATTATCTTTAGTTCCTACAAAAATGCTACATGTATCAAATACAACTTAATAAATTAAATTGGGCCTCGGCTAGGCTCCGTTCTGCTGGGCTTTTTGTTACCGGCTCCGTTGTGGCTGTGGTACTCGATGAGTTCAGGGATGGAGCTGAACATGTGTTTCTCAGCCAGGTAAAACATTTTGGGGGAGCACTGCGTCTCTTTAATGTGATAATGTTTAATCATTGGACCTCCTTTCCTATAAAACACAACAAAACAGCAGATCAGAGGGAGAAACAGAAACAAATCCACGTTGAACTGAAGCCGGACCGTTTGGTCTGTAAGCAAAACTCACTGCATATCTTTACTATGTGTTACAACGGCCTAGTCCAAACCTAAGTCTGAGGTAGACATTGTTGTACACAGATGTTTCTTGTCCAACATAATTAAACTTTGGCTACATTGTAAAGAAAAATGGTTGAAATCTTAAACTGGTCGAGACAAAACTTCAAAATTAATACGACTGAGGTTTGGTTTAAGTACCAAGTTTAATTTTAATTTTAAAAATGGCCTAAATCCAGTCAAACCAGAGGTTTAAAAACATCTAAACAGCTAATATTAATCATAGTAACCAGCAGAAGTTTTGTCAAGAGTCTAAAACTGACAAAACCAACAGAAACCAAGTCAAATTCAGGCTGACAGGGATTTACCCAGATCCTGCTTTGGTGTAAAGAGAGACTGTGTATGTCGACGGGAGGCTGGAGTCTCTCACAATGAAGGCTCCTTCTTTGTCCTGCAGGGGGCGACAAACACAAACAAACCAAAATATTGGTCATTTTTGTTAACAGATAAATTGATTGATATTTAACTGAGGAGATTTAAATCAAAGCTTCTGCGTTTGAATCACGAAGGTTTACGTTTGATAAAATATTAAAAGTAAAGAAGCAGAAAATAAACAATAATAAAGACTGACCTCCTTCCTCAGCAGCTCCTCAGCCATGTTCCTGTTTACTCCTTTACTGTACCACCTGAAACAAACATTATGAGACTTTTATCACTTCCACACTTAATCTGAGAGATTACTTATATTTTGTAATAAATGTCAACCTAAATGTGACTTTTATTTTTAGAAAAATGCATGACAAATTCAAAATAAGTGATAAGTCTTGTGAAACAAAAACAACTTTCTTTATGCAGGTGAGGAATGTTTAGGTTCATATTTGTAGTCAAATATTTATATTTATATTTACAGTAAAAGTAGCACATAAAAAAGCACAATAATACTTAGCAATACTAGCAATATTAATAATGCTATTTGCAAACAAAGTTATTGAAAACCTTGTTCTTGTCTGTTTTTTTTCTCTTCAAATCCAAAACTTTATATATTGGGGGAAAAGTTGCTTGTAGAAACAAACTATTGTTTTTATAGCATCTCTTTGTTTTATCCTGATCAGTTAATGAAATAAATTCACATCAAAAACTTAAGAAAAATGTTTAATGTTAATAAATAATGAATTTTAACAAAAACCACATGTGCAAAAGTGCTGCCAGTCCTGCTGTTCCTTCTACACCAGCTGGAAATAAAAATAAGCTTCAGTTTAAGTAGCAACAGTCATTAAAGTGAACTTTTACATTCATTAAATAAAGAAAACCTTTTGTCACAAAATTTATGATCATGCGAGTTAAGAAAGTTAATGACTAATGAGAGCTGCAGCAGGTTTCAACTTTGAACCAGGAAACATTTGAGCCACTTACGAGAACTGCACCAGGTTCCCAGACGTTTTCTCCGACACGTAGTTACTGGGGATGTATCCTTCCTCCCTGAGGAACAAACCCACAAAAATCTGGTTTAAAAAGTGGGAAAAAATCTACTTTATTCTGCACAAAGTGTCATTTTTTAACTGGAAATCTGGTTAATTTAACCACTTTGCCTACTGAAGTGTCCCTCTTTAAACTGAGACAATACACTGTAAAAACAGAAAACCTTGCCAAATATTTTTGCTCTAATTTCTAGTGCAAATATGAAATGAGACAAAACTAACTTATAAGTGACTTTTCAGCAAGATAAAGGAGTTTGTTTTAGATAAATAATTCCTTAATATTGATGAAAAATGTTTTATCATGAGTGAAATAATCTGCCAGTGAAATATTGCTTTTGATCAATATTAATGAATTATTGATTTAGAACAAGCTTTCTATATCTTGCTGAAAAGTGGTTTTTTGGTTTTTTTGCAGATGATTTTGCAGATGATTTTCGCTCTGAATGCCAAAAAGGCCAAAAGAATGACAAAGTTTAGCCAAAATGGCGGACAGTTAGAAGGTTTTGCGTGACCTCTGTGTGACCTCTCACCCGTACTCGTTGCGCGCCCTGAACCAGTTGACGTCACATTTCTCCAGGATGACGTACTCTCTGCCGCGGACCAGCTTCAGGTCGTGCGGCTCCATGCCTGGGAAGTCGTAGAGAGCCACCACCACCTCCTCCTCCTCCTCGTCATCCTCGTCTTCGTCCTGCGGGACGGGAGGCGGCCGCGGCCGGCGCTGGACAGCAGGGCGGAGTGTTTGCGTCAGCGTCTCTGCTCCTGATTCATCGGCTGCTGCCGCTGCTCGTTTTGTTTACTCACCGTGTTTCCCTGTCCAGGAATCGGAGGCAAAGGTTTTTCTGGAAACTAGAAGAAGAGGAACAGAAACCGACAGTGAAGCAGAAAGTTTCAACGTTTCTGTTTCGTCTTTACTGGCTGGATCACTGTGACCTTTGGCCTCAAGCTGAATGTTTCTCAAGAAGCTTTAAATGTCACACGTTACACTTATATATAAATAGCATTTTCCTTCCACTCATCTTTCTATAAACGTGCATATAGTTGCACCATAGTTGACTAAATGGATTGACTGATGGATGACGCAGCGTCACACTGAACAGGAAGCCGTGCGGCGGGTCTTACTGTCTCCTTGCAGGTTGTACTCCTCGCAGCCCAGCGCCTGTTTGTCTGCCTGGCGGCAGCAGAGCCACTGGCCCTCCAGCCAGAACTGGGGTGAAACTTCAGCAGCACGACTGGGTTGTGTTGGATCTCTGGAAGCAGCAAACAGAACAAAAAGACCATGTGAAGGAGAAATTAAGAATAATGGGATTTTTCTGCTGTATTAATCATTTTTTGTCTTTATGTGAACAAATTAAGTCGGTATAAATTTAGTTTCATGCTTCGTGTTCGATATCAAAACGTATAAAGTGACCGACTGCAGCAGATTTGTGTTTAAAAATCAAACCGGATCAGTCTGCAGTCAGAGTCCACTTCCTGCCAAACTAGAGGTTTGAGCTAAAAAAAAGAAAAGAAAAGCGACAGCGCAGTGGAAACAGAGGGGGCTGCAGAGAAACCAGCCTCACAGTGCGGTTCCAAGTGTGAAAACGTTTCAGCGTGACATCAGAGATCCGCCCTCAACGCCACGATCATCAGAACGACATCAAACAAAAACATTATGGAGGTGAACAGAACCTCATCCGGTCCAGAAGCTGCAGAACATCGGCGTCCATTACTGCCCTACAGCAGGGAGGTTAAAGGCGACACATTACGCTTCCTAAGACCCAAAAGTACTTGGCAAGATTTTGTACTTTTTAAAAAATAAATGTGATGCATTTTAAATATGACTAAATATAAATAAGTGAAATAAAATAATTAACTTACTGCTGAAAAACAACAAACATCAGCTGGTTGATTTTCCTGTGTTTTTAGAAGCAGAACAGACCAAAAAGGGAACAAAATGTGAATTTCGCATAAAAATCCCCCTTTAAACCCATTTCTGATTTCCAACAGCAGCCTGGCAGATGACTTCATTGATCAAATATCTGATATAAAATCTACAAGAAAAAAAATCCATGAAAACTTAAATTTTTAATCAACGATTTGGAGTTAAATTCTGCAGAAAAATCCAATAATACAAAAGTGCTGATGAGGGCAGATGGGAAATAAACTGATGGAGAGAATTTTCTTTCTTTGTCCAAACTGGAAAACACTTGAATCAACTTCCAGACTTTTGAGAGAAATCCAGGTAACCTTTAACCCCTGGCATCCTTCAGTGGTTTTAAACCATCTTGGTTTTTCTCATCTGCTAAACTTTCAGTTTGACTGGTTCTTGTTTTTATTTGACCCACCATTTTTGAGCATCAGGACCCACTGACTTCTGCTCTTCTGAGTGGGAGCGAAAACATACAGCGTGTTGGTATCGTACACAACCTGGACACAAACACAGAAACATTCAGGAAGATTTGATAAGATGTGGCAAATATAAAAAGATTGTCCAAACGTTTGGTCCAAATCGTCGAGGTTTGAACAAAAAGGCCTGAAAATATTCTTGTTCCTCCTCAGCAATAAACTAAACATGCAGTACTTTAAATAAAGTGGTCAGACTTGATGTGTGAATTATTATATTGTAGCCAATTTAAAATAAATTCTTCTAAAACCAGTTTAGACTTTAAAAGTCTCTTTCTTTTGTGGAATGGAGGAACTGAGGAAAGAAAGCACATTAATGTGATTCAGTAATGAGATAAAAATCCTGGGAAAATAAAAGTTAAAAGTGAAATGATAATCCAGTTAACAGAGTTTGGCCTGTTTACGGTCAGCTGGTCTGACCAGGAAGCTGTGAAGGTGGAAAAAGGACGTTTGTAGGTGAGAGACTTGTGGGAGTGACTGCAGCTTCGTTGAGCCGAAACGCTGATCTGCAGGTTAAAGCAGCTGCAGCTGGGCTCTGCCAGCAGCAGGTTTTCTCTGATTGTTATCTTGGCGCAGACGCATGACGCCGTTTCATCTCCAGACGTGACGAGATCGTCAGTTTTCATGGTGTTTTAGCAGAATGCAGCCGTGCTGCGTGTTTTACCTGGAACGGGTATTTTGTTCTGGCAGGGGATGATCCCACCTCCATTCTTCACGATTTCCACACATCTGATGCGGCTCAGCTCCACCGAGCCCCTCTTGAACTTCTTGTTGACGGAAAAATGTGTCAGAAATGCTTTTTCTGCTTCTTCACACTAACATGTTGCTGTCAGCCGACAGACACGTTGGTTTCTGAGCTGGAGTTTATCAGATGAGTAATAAGCCAACGCTCGTTTCATTTCTCTCATTTTTTTTAACTTGATGATGATGATACATAAAAAAACCTAAAACTGTCATTTCCTCTAGAACAGTTTTTGATTTGGTTATCTGCCTCACTGTAGAGACACGTGGGCGTAAAACTGGATTTCTCTCAAACCAAACTGTCACTGGTGTACAGTAAAATAAAAATGTTAGATAGAAACTGAATCCTTTAGATCTACATGGATGATTCTGCATAGATTTAAGCTTAAAATGATAACAAACTTGAAGCTGAACATTCAGAATCACATAAAGACGATTACAAAATCAGTCTTCTATCGCCTTCCAGACCTCTCAGGTTCTGGTTCTGGTACTGCTCTGCATCCCCAGAACCAGAACCAAATATGGGAATCAGCTTTCAGCTTCACAAATCTGCGTTAACAAACCACAAATGTGGAACAAACTTCCAGAAAACTGCAAAAAAAGAGCTGAAACCCTGAGTGTCTTTAAGTCAAGACTAAAAACCCAGCAATAAATTAAACATTGGCCACATTTTTAAGTGTATTTGCTTCATGAGAAACATTGTGGATGCACTGAAAACATCAAAAAAACTTATCGAATAAATGTGTCTGATTTCTACTTCAATATTTTCTTACACTTAAAAGAAGACAAACAAACTTAAAAGTAACTTTTCAACAAGAAATTGTACTTTTCCGTCAATATTAAGGAATTATTTTACTTCAAAAAGTCCCATTTCTTCATGAAAAAATACTTTTAAGTTGGTTTTGTCTTCTTTTAAGTGGAGGAAGATATTTGCACTAAATGTAGACCAGAAATTCTTGGTAAGACTTTGTGTTTTTGCAGTGTAGGCCTGTCATCATGATACATTTTACAGGACAATAAATTGTCCCAGAAGTTACTGCGAATAATAATATATTGTTGTTTTGACACCATCGTAATACAACGGTGACGGGATAATAAAAATGCTAAAAAATCTAAAAGTAAACAAAAATAACACAAACAACAAATAAAAAAAGAAATTAGTTTGAGACCAAAACTGAAGACTTTTTTTATCATCCAGTTTTTTGTATTAAGAGAGAAACAGTAAATCAAACAATGGAAATTATTGATTCAGTTTTAATTTCTCTCGCGATTAATTTATGTTTTACTGTGACAGTAAGAAATAAAAACAGCGACCCTCTGGTTTCCCTTCGTAGTACGTCAGCCTGGTCTTGGTGAGGACAAACACTCGTTCCTTGTAGTTCAGCGGCGACGTCCTTTTCTTCTGCTGCGAACGCTTGATCAGCGTCTCCTGCAGTAGCGGATCGGCACTCATTCTGGCTCCACCTGCAGCATCTGTCCCTGCAGCATCTGTCCGTGGCGCTACGCCGCGAAGGGACGGAGCTGGGCTGAGAGGAAATACAACGTATCACTTTTATGATTTTATTATTAAAACAATCAATAAACTTTATATTCTAACAAACATTTAACACTGCAACTAGAAGACATTTTAAATAACATCAGAAACAACAAATAATGGAGACAGAACTCTATAAACTAATTTATCCTTAAAAAAAAGGGCAAAATGAGGCCAAAGCACATGAAGTAAAATTGCTCTAAATGCACCAGAATTGGACAATTAGCCATTTTATTGTTCCCTTAAAATCTGGTCAGTTTTTCGTCTTCAACTTCCTCCATTTTGGTTTCACAGCTACAAAATGTCCCTGAGAAAATAATCTCACTAATGTGGTCACTGATTCCCATGAGTCTCTGTCAGCTGGTGACATATTTCCTCCTGAGAGACGCGAAAATGTTCAACTTCATCCTCAGGGGTCAAAGGTCATGAGTGCCAGCTGAGGAGGAGGCGTTCACAGACCCAACAAGAGGAAAGGTTCCCAGTTTAAACTCACTTTTCACACATTTACCTCAGATCCAACTGAACCAGTTAAACTCCAACAGAACCAGTTAAACTCCAACAGAACCAGTTTCACTCGCAGAATTTCCACTGGCTATAAATATATGTAAATTGAAATTAGTCAACATTACTGATTTGTTGGCCTGTCATGGTAGCAAATTGTACTAGACGATAAATTGTCCCAGAAATTATGCGATAAACGATAATATTGTTTTTTCAACTGATTCAACAGTAATAATGGCATAATAATAATTTCAAAACGCGTTCTTAAAGATCAATAAACTTTAAATTCTGATGAATATTAAACACTGGAAATGGAAGAAATCTGAAATATTCAGAATAAACAAACAACCAAAACTAAATTGAATTATAAAGTATCTGAAAATAAAACTGTCCTTCAAAAAAAAGAAGTTTTTAGTTAAAACACCAGACTGAAGACTTTTCTCTTGGGAGAAAGTGAAAAACAATAAATTATACAAATGGAAATTATTGATTTTGTTTCAATTTGTCTTGTGAGAAATTAATTTATTGCGTCAGGCCTAGCGACACTGTAATCTGTGTATCATCTGCATAGTTTTGACAAATAATCTTATTTCCTGTAATAACCTGAGTGAGTCTGAGCAAAAAGATACACTGCCAAAATATAAAACCTTCCCTAGAAATTTGGCTCTAGTTTAAATATCTGATTACACTTGAAATAAAACTAAACTAACCTTTAAGTAACTTTTACCAAGACATAGAAGCTTATTTTAAGTTTTAAAAAAAATCCTTAATATTGATGAAAAACTGTTTGTTCCATTGGAAGATAAATTCACCTAGAAAGATGAAAAATGTTTTGTTACAACGGAAATAATCTGCCAACAGAAACAAAACTTCTGT